TGATGTAAAAATAATAATAGCTGGCATTTATATAGTGCTTTGAGATTTACAAAGCAATTTACATGTCATCTCATTTGATCAAAACAAAAGAGATTGAACCTTTTAAAAACAGAAGTCAAGGTTATGTGGGATGGTAGAGCATGGTATGAGTGTCAAAGAACATTAACATTAGAAAGGACCTTAGAGAACATTCAGCTCAATCCTCTTATTTTATAGAAGCATATGAAGTAGATGTGTTTTGTTTTGCTTTTTAACACCTGGATTTGAGTTTTGGCTTTGATGATTATCATTAGGTTATTTCACCCCTTTAAGACACAGTTTCCCCATCTGGAAAAGGGGAATGGTGATACAGGCCCCACATTCCTCACAGGTTTATGGTGAGGAAAGTGCTTTGTAAATTAACAAATTACTGACGAAATAATTGTAGGAATTCAGCTTGGAGGAGTGGCCTGGGTTTTCCATAAAAGAAAATGAACTGTAGTTATAACAAGAAAGATTTAGGTTTTATATATAACGTGGGGAAAAAAGTTTACAGATTCTTACTTACTAGATGACTTAGGTACTGATAAGACCACCCCCCACCCCTTATCTTAGAGATTCTGTGCAAATTATGGACAGTATTGGAAGAATGGGGAGTTAGAGAATCAAGTGGATAAAGGTGTTATCTCATAATATGAAGGCAGAAGGAGAGACCCCTGGAGATTTCTTGTTATTTTATTTTTTATATCATTTCATTATTATTCATATTACTTCATTTTTTATATCACTTATGATTCCTTGTCTCACACATCCCCCAACAAGCCCCTGAAAAGCAGTGTCAAGCAAAACAAATCAATGTGTTGGTTTGATCATGTCTGAAACATAAAACAGATGGATTGCTCAAAATCTACTGTCTACCACCTCTCTATCTAGAGAGATGGCTAATTACTTTCCCACGAGGCTCTTCACCATACTGTATTTCTTTTCTTTTAACAGGTGCAGACCTCTCCCATTCTTCCTACAACCCCTTCTCCAACATCAGTGACAGAAGTGGCTCCAGGTGGAGCTGCTGATGTAGTCCAGGCTGCTGCAGAGCAGAGCCTCAGTGATCTGGGGCTGGGAGGCTACACCCCAGTGGGACTGGTGCAGAACCTTCTGGAGTTTGTGCATGTTGATCTGGGCCTACCATGGTGGGGAGCCATTGTTACATGTAAGGGGAACCAGACTTTGGAAGTTGGGGAAGCAGAGCTTGGGATAGGGGCTTACAGGCAAAAGCAGATTAGAATGGTAGAGCCTGATTAAGCAGGGTCTTGTGGATCACAACCTCAAGTGAGGAACAAGATGGTAGGGCTTCAGGAGAAGCGACTTAGGTAAGAATACAGACTCTAGAGATTTAAATGCACTGTTTCTCAAAGTGGCTTTTTTAAATCAGTGTGTGATCTGCAATTCATAAAGGATCCTTAGGCCCAAAGATTGTGGCGAGAGGTAAGTAGGATAGAAAGAATTCAGATAGTAAAAAGCATTCTTAGGGAAGGGCTTTTGAATATTTGAATGTAGGAGAGTGTTAGAACAAAATGCCCTGAAACTATTATCATGATCACTTGGACCAGAGAATCCAAATTGCTAGGAAGCCGGTCATGCAGAATGGGTAGGGAAACAAGAAGGTATTAAAACAGGAAGCCATCAGTAAATGCTCCTCTCTCACTCTAGCAATGACTGAACTCAGATTTCCAGATACCTACCTACCTTGCAAAAATTAATATTAGGCTTCCTGATTGAACAGCAGAGCTTTGGAAGTAACTAAGTCCAGATACTTTCTCTGTCCTATGCCTTTCATATGAGTTATGGTGGAAGTAGGTTAGGATGAGGTGGTTCTTCCTGTAGGGACCTAATTAGGCTATATACAAATTCCCATCTGTCTTTGGTTTGTGTTTCCTAGGCACTGTTGTTGCAAGATTCCTAATTTTCCCCCTCATTGTGAAAGGCCAACAGGAGGCAGTAAAGATCAATAACCACATGCCAGAGATCCACAAATTTACCACTCGGATGAACGAGGCCAAGTTGTCAGGGGACAAATTTGAATGTGAGTCAGTGAAGGGTTAAGGGTGGGGAAAAAGCACCTTTGGACTCTACCTGGCATTTTGCTGTGGAAATGTAAGCAGCCTCAGCAGAGTCACTGAAGGCCTTATGGAGCATTGTTGGAGTTGGGGCAAGTCCTGGATGCTCATTCACTCCCAGTAAATTTGAAATTTGAAGGTTGGGAAATGTGTGAGTTAAGTGGTAAGGGAGATATTTCCCTGCTCTTGGCAGCCCATTGTTAACTTTCCCCACCTCTTCTGGTCAGTTTCCAGGGCCTTTTCAGACCTACAGCTCTACCAAAAGAAACATGGTGTGAACCCTGTGAGAGGATTCATTATTCCCCTAGCCCAGGTGAGTAGCTGTACTGTTTTTCTAGGCTCCTGGGACTCCATCCTCTTAAGATTCTATACAGGCTTCTCCTTAATACATTGTGGGACTCCCATCAAGAGGCAACAAGGAGTTATTCCTCCAGCTGACATCTGTCTACCCTGTGCTCTAGGCTCCTGTCTTCATCTCCTTCTTCATTGCACTGAGAGAGATGGCCTATCACCCTGTGCCCAGCATGCAGAGTGGGGGTCTCTGGTGGTTTCAGGATCTCACAGCAGCTGACCCTATCTATGCACTGCCCTTGTTAGTCACAGCATCGATGTGGGCAATCCTGGAGGTAAGCTTGGATTCTCCTGGGAAACTGGTTTTCCAAGTACAGGTACAAACTAAACTCTGAGAAACCAGAGTAAACTGTAAAGCTAAAAAAAATTCTTAGGACCTAAGAGTAGGAGTTGGAGATAAGAGGAGTAGGAATGTGACTCATGAGTTCAGCCATGGACCTCTCAATACAAGCCTACCCCTACACCCCTGTTATACCTTTATTGTGTTTGATGAAAAGATGACATCAGGCAGACTGTTTAGGGTTATGGTTGGTTTCATTGGAATGGTCAGCCAACTCTAGTCAGCTCCCTAATGTTAACAGTGGTGTGTGGTTGTAACATGTTATAGGATTATTCCTCCAGAAGTATGGTAGGGCATGAAAGTAGATGTAGCTTTTTTCATGTTGATTTCCTTCCTCTTCTTATCTTTCACTTCTTTCCTTTTCATGTCTCTGCTTTTTTTTCTGTCTTCCCTTGCCTCCCTCTTTTCCATTGGCTGTTTCCTTATTGATAGCTTGGTGCTGAGACTGGTGTCAACAATCCCAACCTGCGTATGATGAAAACCGTCTTCCGGGTGCTACCTGTGGTCGTCCTGCCCTTCACCATCCATTTCCCTACGGTATGTCAGACTGAAGAGGCTGTGTCCTTCTCTGCCTGCCCTAAACTCTGGTCTGTTGCCTCATACACTAGAGAGAGAGAGAGAGCTCCTAAAAGTCCTATGCTCTGTTTCCAGGCTGTGTTCATATACTGGTTCTCTTCCAACCTCTTCTCACTGGCCCAAGTGGGATTCCTTCAGATCCCAGCTGTACGCACTTGGCTGTGCATTCCAAAGCGAATCATACATGAGCCAAGCCAGTTGCCTACACAGGAGGGCCTCATTAAGAGCCTCAAAACAGGTATGGCTTGTGTTCTAGGGAAAGGGTATCGCTGGAGGGAAGTGATTAGAGGAGAGAACTAAATGCTGACTCTTAGCTTATTGCTTCCCCCACAGGCTGGAAAAATGCCCAGACAGCTCACCAGCTGAAGGAGCGGGAGCATCGCATGCGGGATCACCTGCAGCTGGCAGCTCGAGGTGAATTGTTTTTCTTGATTTGCTGGGATTTTAGACCATATCTTGGCCTCTGCTTCTCTTTTCTCTCTCCCTGCTTAGCTGTTTTCTCTCTTCTTCCCCAGGCCCCTTACGACAGACCTTCACCCACAATCCCCTGCTACAGCCTGAAGGAAAACAGTCTTCTCCCATCACTACCAGCAGCAAACCAAAGTCACAGAAGCCCTGGAGGGATACTCTTGGATGACCGGTATATTTAGCATTAACATACCAGAGAACTTTCATTACCAAGAGCCTCAAGAGTTCCTGAGAGCAAGATCTGGACAGCGACTCCCTACCCTGATCCTAGGAGCAGTGGGAATGTGATGACATTCAGTGCCACAGACTCTTGATAGACCAACACACAAAGTGGGTATGGGAAGGTCTTCAGTGGTATATGCATAGCAAGCATCTGAGCCATGTTCTCTTCTCTGGGAAGGTAATAAACTTCTGTATTCATATGATATTTCCTGATTCTTCCTCAGTAGTGAACAGGCTAAAGAGTAATATTTGACAGAGCATAGGAAATCAAAGCAGCGAAACTGGGCCAAATCCAGCCTTTGTTATCACATTAAAAAAAAAAACTTCCCAGCCCATATTTATGTTTATTCCATATACATTCATATAAAGTCTTTCCAGCCAAATAGTCACCTTGACTTGAAGTATATGTCTGAATTGGTTGGGAAAGGCAGTATAGTCTGTGTAGGTAAACTTTCACCCCAACTCTGAGAGATAATTCACTCAAATTCCACATTTATTACAAATAAGGAAATGGACTCATGGTCACACAGCTTATTAGGCTCAGAGCTAGGATGAAAACCAAGCTCTTCTGTTTCTAGGTACAGCAGCCTTCCCAATACCTCACACTTCCATTATCTCTACCTATGACACATATATATTTTTCAGATAATGGGTCTAAATAAATATTAATGAGAGTAAATTTTTTTTTGACACTTGAGTTGTAGGTCCCACTACCTGATAGCATTTGCATGTTTGACCTCAGTGGAGGTAGAAATCAGTTTTTTAATCAACATTTTAGCATTCAATAATTTATAAGTCCCATTTGAAACAATTTCATCTGACTGTACAAAACAACATGGGCTTAAGGTTGGAAGGAAAGGAGTACCTGGGGAATGATTCCAGAGCATCAAGATTTTTTTTCACATCTGTATCACAATCTGAAAATCAGAGCCAAGGCTATCCCCAGAGAAAACCTGACAGTGCAAATAAAGAGGCCACTGTCATCTCTTTTATTGTTATCCAAGAAGATCCTACAAGTGCCCTTTGCCCCTTTAGTAGGTTCCTCCCTGATGCAGATAGGAGGCCAGGAGCATTGCTAAGCCTCCGATGGGAAAGAGGGATGGGAAGGTGGTGCAGAATTCAGCTAGTTAGTATTCTGGGCACCTGTCCCTGCTCCTCCTCCTCATCCTCCTGAGGACCTGCTAATAGAGAAACCAAGCCCAAGGCATGCTTCTTCCCACCCCCAACCTTCCATTTAAAAACCTGGAACTAGAAGTAACAAAAAAAATAAATTATTCTCAACTTCTCTTAAAGAATTCAACTTCTCTTAAAGAATAAGTTCAAGTTTCCTAAGCTGTCCCAAAGCCAGGTCTGGACTTGGTAGGTTGTCTTCAAGAAAGGATCCTATCCCTCTGGCCCTGGAAGGTAGGAAAAGGAAATTCCCTGCCCTTAATGTCTCATTGGGGAGAAGTCAGGTTGTTGATTAGTTGGACTTGGGGTCCTGTTGCTTAGGTGTCTCTCCCATATCTTCCAAATCCATCTCTGTGGCAACTGACATGCACAGGACTTGGATGTATTTTGTGGCCAGTGCTGCAAGGAAGAGAGAGAATAAGTCATAAAAGAGGAGGGATTATGTGGGGGTTGGAGGAGGAGGAACCAGGACGATCACATCAAAGGGCAGTCAGTAACTTCCCTGAAGGCCAGAGAATTAGAAGTGAGACATTCATCTTATAGAACAAGAGGACAAACTTCAAAATCAGAGTCAGTGGTCCCCCAGGACTCACCCACAGTCCTTCGGAGGCAGTATGGCCGTTTGTGTTCCGGCATTCTGACGAAGAAGAAGTAAAAGGGCAGGCCTGAGAGGGCAATGCCAATGCCAATAAGGGAGTTGATAGTATCACTGTAAAGAGGGACAGCCACCAGGAAGATGGTACAAAGGCAGAAGATGATGGGGAAGACCAAACTGAGCTGCAAATGGAAAGTAGAATATAACTTGAGATTAGACAGCCTAAAGTTCCCATCACAACCTTGTGTCCTGAGGAAGATGGGGATGTCTATCACCCAGCAAGGTCATCAATGTTTTCCTTTTTTTTAAAATTTTTATTATCCTTGTCTGAATCCTTGAGTTTCCCTCCCATGAGGTTTCTTGTGTCTAGATTGCCACCTGCCTCTGAACAATGCTGGAAAATCTGTCCCTCTGGTTCAAAATTCTCTTATTAGCATTCTGGATGTTTCATAGAAACAAGATTAATGAATCACCTTGAGGGGTCGGTATCGGTCAGGTTCCTTCCAGCGTAAGTAAAGCTGCCCCACGATGGAGAGACCCACAAAGAACCAGTAGCTGAAGCTGTAGTAGTTGATGAGCTGGAAGATGTCCTCCACACACAAGTAGACGAGTGCCATGGCTCCCTGTGATACACAAACCCTGGAGCTCCCAAGAACCAGACCCAACCTCCCCCAGGACAGTGCTGTCAATACTCCCTCCATTAACAACCAACCCTTCACTTAGGGGAACACTTACATTGAACAGCAGAGATGGCACTGGAGTAAACCTTTCAACATGAATCATGCAGATAGCATCAGGGAGGTGGCCTTCTCGTGAGCCCACAAAAAAGAGCCTGTTTCAGGTAGGAGAGAGGAGGCTGAGGTGGGATAAAAATCGAAACCTATAGATTGCCATCAGCGTACAAGACAGCCGGAAGCTGAATAGTGGTAATCAGGATGGCAAAGTTGCAAAAGCTAAGAGGTTTATCACAAGGCCCAAAGAAGACTGTAGCAGGCTGGGCCCCCTAAGTCCTTCCATCTCTCTGTCCCTTGCAGTTTTCCTCAGTAACTATGGTATCTCAAAAGAACATCCAGTCTCACCGGGAAGCAGCCACGATGGAAGCATTGAGACCCCCAAAACAGGATAAGGCAACAGCCAAGGGAATTGTCCAGTTGAACACTCCAAAAATTCTGTCAGCAAAAGTCTGCATGGGGTGAGGAAAAAAGTAGGAAAAAAGGTAGTGGGAAAAGAGAATGTTTATTATATGAAAATCAAGGTATTGTTCCACCCCACCGCAGGAACCTCATGCTTTCTCCCTAAATCTGAGGTAACCCCTCCCCAACTGTACTTCTGAGGTCCTCCATCAAGGCTTACAGGGACCTATCTACCCTCCTCGCCCTCTTGATGGCCACAATCCTTTACCACAGCAACAGCATCACTGTCCATGATGTCCTTCATGCTCAGCACAGTGTAATAGGCCACATTGGTCAAAATGTAGATAATGGTGACGATGGGCATAGAAATGCCAATGGAGAGGGGCAAGTTCCTACAGTCAGAGAAGAAAGTATAGAAGTTAGTCCCATCCCCCTGTACATGATTAATCTCCCAATATCCTCAGGCTTCTCCCCCAACCACTTCAGTCTTTCCCAGGAACAGCAGGATGGCTTGCCTTTGTATCTGAGATTCTCTGGTAGTAAAAGACCATTCATTCAGCAAGCATTTATTTTTTTTATTTATTTATTTTTTAGGCAATTGGGGTTAAGGGACTTGCCCAGGGTCACACAGCTAGTGTCAGGTGTTTGAGGCTGGATTTGAACTCAGGTCCTCCTGACTTCAGGGCTGGTGCTTTATCCACTGTGCCACCTAGCTGCCTCCCCCCCCAGCAAGCATTTATTAAGCACCTATATATCGGGCTCTGGGCTAGGTACTAAGGATACAAGAACAGTCCCTGCCTTCAAGGAGCTTACACTCTCCTAGAGAGAAGTTCTGTATATAGCACTTTATAACCATAAAGCCCTGTATAAATGTCATGAGGACCTAATTCTGTTCTAATAATTCTAAATGTATTCACGATTAAAGAGCATGATTAAAGGTGCCATTAAACCTCCACTACAGATAGAGAATTGATGGACTCTATAGTACAGGTTGAAACAGTTTTTCTCTATTTTTCTTGTGCCTTTTTTTTTTTGCAACATGACTAAAGTGGAAATATGTTTTGCATGGCTTCATATGTATAATGGGTATTGTATTTCTTGCCTTCTCAAAGGGTAGAGAAGGGGTGGAGGGAGGGAAGGAATTTGGAACTGAGGATAAAAAAATTAAGGAAGCAGTGCTACTACTAAAGAAAGAAAAACCCTTTGCTATACATAAATGAGATGGAAGAGTCGCTCATAAGAAAAGAAAATGTGGTTAATAGAGAAAGGGCCAGACTACAAGATAACAGCGCAGGAAGGTAGAAGCCATTTACCCAGAGCCTAATGTGTCCAATCTGCTAATAAGAATACCTTCCCCAGGGCACAAAACAGAAGACATTTCCTAACAATCTGGATTGTGAAGCCTTAGTACACATAATATAGGAAGGCTCTAAAATGTCCTATGGAGAGCTATTAAGAACAGGAGAGAGAGCCATCCATCCTAACCAGTTTACATACTCCTCTAACTAGCATTTAGGGGATTGACTAAATGGTCTTTCAAGGTCCCTTCTAGACCAACAAGGCCATTGAGGACACTCCTTAAATGTCAGACGGCATTTCTTAGTCATTCCAGTTCTGTCCAGCAGGTGGAAACATCATTCCAGCCTGAATCCAGCTTGTTTTCCACTAACTGCTGCCTAATCAGGCTCTTATCTTTCATTAAAAGGCCACCTTGTTGGTTTCTCAAAAAATAATATGATCTAATTTGCATATATTATTTTGCATGAGAACCATGTTATTCACAACTCCAAAATGTTCAAAAGCGTGCCTATCCTCTGCTTATTTCCTTCCTCCTCTGCACCTCCAGCTTGTTTCATCAGGTTGGCCACTAATTCATTCACCATTTTTGACTGAAATATTGACTGTTCAGACTTGGGGCAAATTGGGAGGTTTTCAGTACTACTGCTACTAGGCATATTTTCCAGAGATTAAAGAAAGAAGAAAAGGTTTTATATGTACAAAAATACATAAAGCAGCTACTAATTTTCCTATTACTGCCAAGAGTACCACCATCTTCCTAGCTACCCAGGCGTGAAACCTAGGTGTCATCTTAAACTCCTGACTCTCACCCTACCCACCCCCACATATATCCAATCTGTTGCAAAGTCCTATACCTTCATGCCAACTCTCATATATGCCTCCTTCTCTGACATGGTCACTACCCTGGAGGCCCTCATCACCTGATGCCAGTACTACTGCAGTAGCCTACTGGTTGGTTTCCCTGACTCAGATCTCTCCCTATTCCAGTCTATCCTCCATTCAGCTGTCAAATTGATCTTTTGAAACCTGAGATCTGATCATGTCACTCCTTCCCACACACACACCTCATTCTACAAACTCCGGTAACTGCCTATTACCTCCAGAATCAAATCCTCTCTTTTTTAAAGCCCTTCATAACTTGGCCCCTTCTTACCTTTCCAGTCTTCTTACACCTTACTCTCCTCGACATACTCAATGATACACAAAACATTTTATCTCACAACTGGATTTTCACCAGCAGACTCTCAAACCTGATACTCTGTCCCTCCTCATCTCCATGTTCTGGCTTTCCTGGCTTTCTTCAAGTCCCATCTTCTACAAGAAGCCTTTTCTATTCTTCCTTAATTTTAGTGCCTTCCCTCTGAGAGTGTTTCCAGTTTATTCTGTTTATTTTATTTGTATATATGTAGCTGTTTACATATTATCTCCTCCATTAGACTATGAGTTTCTTAAGACTAGGACTTTTTTTTTCCTTCCTCTGTATCCTTTCTTGTGGTAGGAAAGAACCAGAAACTAAAGGGTTGCCCATCATTTGGGGAATGGATGAACAAATTATGGTATATGAATGTGCTCTAAGAAGTGATGAAAGGATGCTCAGTTCGCTACAGTGAAACCTGTAATCTAGGATGATACTAACTACTCCTTGGTTATCACCATTAGTAAAGATGACTCCTGTCTGCCTAGGTGCCTAGCCACAGAAATGCCAAGCTAAATACTGTAGCAGTTCAAAAGAAAACAGGAGCAACAATAACTTACAGTGCTGTAAAATGAGGGTAATAATAAAATCTACCTCATGGGGTTGTTCTGGGGATCCTACAAGATAATGTACATAAAGTACTTTATAAACCTTAACAATATTATATATCAATCAACAAGCATTAATTAAATGCCTGCTATATGTCAGGGTCTATGCTAGGCCCTAAGGAAAGATAAATAAAACAGTCCAGGCCCTCTAGGAGCTTACATTGTTTTTCTCTTTTTTTTCTTTCTTTCTTTTTTTTTGGGGGGGGCTAAGCAATGGGGTTAAGTGACTTGCCCAAGGTCACACAGCTACTAAGTGTCAAGTGTCTAGTCTGAGGCCGGATTTGAATTCTGGTACTCCTGAATCCAGGGCCGGTGCTCTGTCCATTGCACCACCTAGCTGCCCCATAGAGCTTACATTCTTATAAAGGAAGACAAATGTACGCAGAATTATATATTAAAATATGTACAAATTTTTTACAAAAAGAAATGATGAAAGGAGCAATTTCTCTGAAACCTGGTAAGAACTGATGCAGTGAAGTAAGCAGAATCAAGAGAACAATTTATGCAACAACATTGTAAAAGCATTTCAAAAGACTTGTGAATTCTGATCAACACAATGACTAGCTATAATTCTAGAGGGACAGTAATGAAGAATGTTATGCACCTCCTGATAGAGAATTGATAGACTAAATATGCAGAATGAGACATACATTTTGGACATGACCAATATGGGGACTTGCTTTGCTTGACTACATTTGTTACAAGAGTTTTGTGTAATTTTGTTTTTATTCCCCAGTGGGACTTAGGAAGGAGGCAAGAGAATATTAATGTTTCTTCATTTTTTAAAATAAAATTTAATTTTTATAATATTCAAGGTTTTCAAACAAATAGATTAATTCAATATGGGCATAAATTTGGAAAATAAGGAAAGTATTCTGGAGCCTATAGAAGAAATACACATGTAAGGTCTGTAAGAGTTTGTATACACCCTAAATATCTTAAAAGTAGCAGGGCAAAGAGTAGATAAAAATACCTATAAAGGCAAATGCATAGGAAAGTGTAATTATGAAGTCTGTGGTAGAGTACCCACCTTTCAGGATTCTTGATCTCCTCAGTGACATAGTTGAGAGTGTCCCAGCCCGAGTAGGAAAAAAGAGCAGAATACAGTGCCAAAGCAATATTTCCCATCGAAAACGAAGACCCCTCAAATGAATTCTCAAGGTTAGTTGCATGTCCTACAATCCAGAAAATTTTGTAGAGTTGGAATATTAAGACAGTCCAACAACTTCAAGGTGATTCAGAATAGAAGTTGAAAGAATCAAGACAATGCAGGTAAACATGAATTCCTAAGATCTTCAGAAACTTATGAAAGACAATAACTGGCAAAGGTCAGGAAGGGGACAGCTGACAATCTCCTAGGATCCCAGATTTAGAATTGAAAGGGACATAGGCCAACCTCCTTGTTTTTCAGATGAGGAACCAAAGACCTGGAGTTGTGACATGACTTATCTAAAACCATGCATCTAGTAAGCAGCAAAGCCGAGATTCAAAACCAGGTCTTCTAAATCCAAATCTAATGCTCTTTTCACTACAACATGCTGCTGGGTCAGAAGGAAAGGAAAGATAGGGGACGATCTGGAGCGGATCAGCTTCATTCGATGGTGTCCAACTCAGAAACAGGGCCCTCTAAACTGTACATAAGGATCCCCATATTGACTTAGAAAACCACATAGTAATATTACCTGTGCTTTATTGTATTTATTTATTTTATTAACTTATCTCCCAAATTCATTTTAATCTGGTTCAAAGGGCACTTAGGAGTGTTGTGGGCTTCATACAGCCCTTAGCCTCACATTTAACATGTCTGGTCTAAGGGACTAGTGGGGATGCTGAGGGTGAGAGGCCACAACAAAACAGAAAGGTGGAGATATGCACTAAGGTCCTAAAGTGGTGTTTATATTTGCATTTATTTGCATTTGTGGTCTTTTTTCAGGACCAGCCAGTAGGGGTAGATACCATCTAGATAAGAAAGAGGAGTTCACCATATCTACCTGAAAGATCTAGCATTTAAATGAGCACACACACCTGTACCATCTGAAAATGGGCAGGGAAGAGATTCAGTGAAGCACATTTTTACCTTTGCCTATTCCCAAGGGTAGCAAAATCCTAGTGTGTAGCAAGGTGCTTAGGGCCCCTGAAAAGTGCATGGACCCAACCAAGCACATTCCACACCCTCCCCTTTGCCAAGAATAGCCTTGCCTCTTACCCTGGCCTATTTTGACAATGCCAGCAATGATGACTGCAATCAGAGCCAGTACTTTAGCATAGGTGAAAATGTCCTGTACCATTGTTCCCCACTTGACATAAGCACAGTTAATGAAGGTTAAGAGACCTGGAAAAAAAATCCTGGTTAATGACCATATCAAAGGAGGAAAGGGGTGGAGCCGTTGATTTCCAAGCAGTTACCTTTGAGTGGAGGTATCTATAGGACCAAGAGCTACTGAAGGGCTTTGGCTCTGACTTGGGTGCCAGACGGTCTTGATCATTATCACCCCAAAAATTAGCTGAGCTTGTGTGCACAACCCTGATCTGGAGACCACTGAGTTACCCAGTAAGGAGCTATGTCCTTGCCCTCACGGAATTTACCATCTAAATCAAGGACCGATTACCAAACTGATACCAGATACACTCAGATATCTCATCAGATAACTTGGGAGGATGACTGTACCTCATTGGTAGACGCAGCTAGCTAGGGCAATGGATACAGTGTTAGACCTGAGTTCAAATCCAGTCTTGGACACTTTTATTAGCTGAGTAACCCTGAGCAAATCCCTTACCCTATGCTTACTTCAGTTTCTTCATCTGTAATTGAAATAATAATAATACTCACCTCCTAGAGTTGTTACAAAAATTAAATGAGATATTTCTAAAGTGATTTGCAGACCTCAAAGTGATGTATATAAATGCTAGCTTTAATTATTAGTATGCCTAAACTCACATTCACAGAAGAGGGCAAAAGATGGTGGAAAGAGATTAGTGATGATGTGCCTAGCCCACAGATCCAGAGAAAAAAGGTTTTGTTGCTTCTCCCCTCCTCCAGCTACATCTCTGAGCAGTCTGTTCAGACTCTTTTATGTTGCTGCTGAATTATTTTAACCTTGATCCTTTCCCTGAGAATAGTCTTGTTGTGACTTATCCACTGTCTGAGCCGACAGGTCAGGACGTGTGACCAAGGATTAGTATCTAAGCTAGACTTCCTGTGCCTGCCAGTCCCATTGCTTATTTTTCTGTTGAAAGAGACACTTGGCGCTGAGAGGGGCCACCGAGAATAGGTAGGGGCTTTATCTCTGGTCCAACAATCATCTCAGTGGGAACAACTACAAATATTCCTCAGGCAATTCCCTGGATGTAACTCTAGAATCTTAGCATGAGTGAATCTGGTAACAACTGCAGAAGTCTAATGCCTCATTTTTATAGATGAGAAAACTCAGAGAAGGAGTGAATTACTTAAGTCTCTGGCAGACTCCACCCTCTGACCCAGGTCTCTCTGCCCAGGCGCTTTCCACTGCACCACACTGCCTTCCTCACTACTTCCTGTGGCTTTGTTAAATCTCATAGGTCACCCCTCAGATGAAAGAGAGTCAAGGAAGGGGAGAAGCCCACACATTGTCCACAGGCAAGTTGGCTCCAGTAATACAGGATGTGGGAGGAAAGAAAGGTGGAAAAAGCAGATCTGAAGCCCAGCTAAATGCTTCTTAGAATTTGTTCCAGCCCCAACCCTCCCCTTCCTTGTGTTCTCTTTCTCGTTCTTTCCATCTCTAACACAGGGTAGATACATTCCCCTCTGGAGACAAACTTTAGCCATCTTACTATCTTCTTATGGACTCCCTTTCTCTGTGGGTTTCAAAGGAAAAGACAAAGTCCATCTATCATACAAGTGATAAAACTGAGTCACACTGGTAGACTTGTCAGCTCCAGGCCCCAGGTCAGCTGAAAATTCTAAGACTTTAATAGCTGTCCCTTGCTCAGTTCAAGGCTTCAGTTTTTTCAATATATCAAATGAGGTATGGATTAGACGGCCTCTAAGCTCCCCTCCAACTCTAAATCTATCATCCTAGGATTATGCTCCAGTCTTCCCATCTCCATTTTTCTGTCCAGTTCAGAACTCTGCGACACTATGACCAAATGACCAAAATAACCAAAATGACCAAAAAGTAATTTGTTCAGTCATGTATGACTCTTCCTGACCCCATTTGGGATTTTTCTTGGACAAGATGCTGGATTGGTTTGCCATTTCCTTCTCCAGCTCACTTTACTGATGAGGAAACAGACTGTGTGCCTAGAGTCACACAGCTAGCAAATGTTTGAGAAAGGATTTGAACTTAAGTCGTCCTTGACTCAAGTCCCAGAGCTGTACCCACTGTACCACCCAGTCAGTAGTGACTCCTCTCCCCCCATATCTGAAAGGGGGAAGTTTAGCTCTACAAAGGAAGAATCCTCTGTTCTCCCACACTGCCAAATCCTTCCACTGATTTTTACTGTTCTAAATCTCTGCCCAATTTCAGCAAGGCTCATTTCTGTTCCATATAGAAAGGAAAAAACACTACAATAAACAATCGAACCTTATCATAAGGCTAGGCCAAAATGCAATTACAGCACCAGACCTCAGAAGTGCCAAGTTAATCATTAAGGCACACACAGGCATACACAATCAAGCTAGCTCCCCACTAAATGAACAGGGTTTTTCTATCTTACCCTTCAGCTCACTGATCTCTTCCAGCTTTTTGCAGCTCTCTGGACTTCCCAACACTCAATACACCCAATTTACCACTCAGCCACTCTCATTCAGATTGCCAGAAGATTCTCAATCCCACCTTTCCTGATTCTTCATTTCCCCTATCCTCCTGACCACCACCACTCTGGCCTCCTTTACCTACTTTTGCCTCTCCCTCTCTCCCCTTCAGAAGACACTGCAATGTACCAACATTTATAGCTCTTCTGTCCTTCTTAACGAATGCACTGGATTATAGTCTATATACCCCAAACTATACAAAACTCTCTGGACTACCCTGGAGCATGGATCCTAATTGCGATGGATTCAAGGGACTGGCCCATTCTACCTACAGTACAAATGAAGAAGCACTAACTTTGGAAGCAAAAAGCTTGGGTTCAATCTCACCACTACATATGGGGCCTTAGGCAAGTCACAACCTCCCGAGATCTGTTTCCTTATCTGTAAAATAAGGAGGTTGGACTAGCTTAAATGTGGTATAGTAGACAGAATGCTGGACTTGAAGTCAGGAAGAACTGGGTTTGAACCCTGCCTCAGGTCCCTTCCAAATCTATGCTCTATCTCTGAAACTAAGAGATCTACAAACAATCCTCTTCCATTAAAATGAAGGTATGCTTTTTGCACAGTTCAATCTCCACAATCCCCTACTCTCCACTCTATTCTCTGGCTTCATCAGTAAACTGATCCTCTCTGCAGCATTCCTCCAATTCTCTATTCCTCTGTCTTCAGAACTCTTAATTTTGCAGGTTTTGCCCTTCATGAATTGATATATTTAATGGAAACTCAGAGGAGATGGTGTGTCAGCTTCATGACCCAAACTCCTCAGTGTTATCTCATTAAATAAGTTTATTCAGTCATGTTACTTTGATGTAAGGTGTCTAATTTGATCTCTTTGTTCAACACATTAGACTCTTTTTAAAGTGAGAAAGGAATCCTGTGAAATAAGGTGTGAAAGAGAGAGGACATATCGTGGTACACCTGACCTCTCTTAGCTCAGCTTCCTCTGGGCCCTCATGGCTATGGGAGCAGGAAATGAGTAGGAGAGTGCTGACTGGACTCTTTTCCTACCCCTCCCCAGGGTAGATACAGCTGATAGGTGGCCCCAGAGCTTTGGCCAAGATCATTGCTCTTAAAGTGGAACTCATGCTTTGAAGGCAAAGCCAAAGGAGGGAAACACTTGCAGAACAGAAGATACACACTGGACTAATCCCAGAGCAAACTTGATCCCATATTCTCACTCCTGTTTGCCAGTTCAATTCTTCCTCAAACCTGGAGGTGCAAGTCCAGACCAAAGGGTGTCTGGGGAGTACACTCTGGTCCAGAGAATTTCCTAGAGATCCAGTCTTATCTTGGGCCTTTCTTGGTCCAAGGAGGTCAAGTCATTTCTAGCACCAACATATTCAAACCTACTTCAGAATGGATCAGCAGACTCTGCCTTCAAGGCCCTTTTCTGAAGCAGAATCAAGCTGCAACTTCTAGGGCCACTCAACCAAAGTAGAACTCCCAGACTTCCAGCAGTTTAGCTCTGTGCCCCTGAGCATGAGCCTAAAAGTAAACTATCCCTAAGGGAAGACCTTAACCTGCCATTCAAAAAGAACTGCTACAAAACCACCCCATGAAACCTGGGCTTCTTGTGGATATGTGAATGGAGAAGTATTCCATGCAGAGGAGTTAGATGAGCTAAAAGAATCACTGGATTGGAAATGAACCTAAAGAAGCATCCCCTAGCTCAGTTTCACTTTAAAGTAGGACTTTTAGGAACTACCTCTTCTATTAAGTACTGGGACATAAATAAATAGGCATTTTGCACACAGAAAGACATGGAAAAGTGGGTAATGGCTTCTAGAGTACTCTAGAAAATTCCCAAATGTCAGCTGGGGCAAAGGCTATTTTATCCTGAGGAGACAACCCTTCAATCACCTCAGTAGGAAGACCATATTTTCCCTCGTTCCTCAAACCCAATGGTCCCTTTGTAGAAATGAAGCCATGTCACCCAAACTGTTGACTCAAAAATAACTAGTCCTGGGGCAGCTAGGTGGTGCAATGGATAGAGCACCGGCCTTGAATTCAGGAGTACCTGAGCTCAAATCTGGCCTCAGACACTTAACACTTACTAGCTGTGTGACTCTGGCCAAGTCACTTAATCCCAATTGCCTTGCAAAAAAAAAAAACCTAGTCCTAATTTATTGGTCAGAATATAGTTTGCCTGCTAATCATTTAATGGCCACATGAATAGAAATGCCCCCATCTTCTGTTCTTTTCCCCTTGGGTACTTCAATGCTTGACCAGAAAAACTACTGAGTGGGCTAGTACTGGTCTTTCCTATAGCTCTTGGTGCTTTTGACCTCAGCACCGTCTTTTCTGCCGCCTTACTTGCTGTGTGCCAGTTCAATCTTCTCCTACTGCCCACTTATCCTAAGACTCTTCCCTAATCTCTCCTTTTTTTTTTTTTGAGACAATTGATGGTTAAACGATTTGCCCAGAGTCACACAGCCAGTAAGGTCAATTATCTGAGTCTAGATTTGCAATCAGGTCCTCCTGACTCCAGGCTCAGTGCTCTGTCCACTGCACCACCTAGCTGCCCCACTAATATCTTTTAGAGGCCTTCTTTCAACTACTCTAAGGGCATAAAAAAAGAAAAAAAACCTCAAAGATGAGTCTCAAGGAGAACTGGTACAATGAGAAACACCCTGAGTTTGGAATCTAGAAGATCGGGGTTCAGATCCTGCAGCTGGCACCTATGACCTTGTGTGACCTTCTGGCCTCAGGTTCTTCATCTGTAAAATGGAGGTAGTCAGACTAGACGACCTCTAAGTCTCTTCCAGCTCTAAATCTATAATCTGATCTACCTAAAACTTTGTACCTCTCCACTGTCTCCACTTCCTCCACCCACTTACTACCCCTTGATGCCTTCATCCAAAAATCTCTCTAGAAGATGGTGTTCTCTATTTCTGATTCTAATGTTGGTACTACCAGACATTTGAGGATTTTCTAGAGCAACCTAGAAGCCATTACCCACTTTGCTCTGTGTGTGTGTGTGTGTGTGTGTGTGTGTGTGTGTGTGTGTGTGTGTAATGTCCAAGTGCCGATGTCCAAGCACTTAATGGTGGTCCCCAAAAGACTTTTTTGGTTCAAAGTAGATCTGTAGCTAGAGGATGTTTCCTTTAGGGTCTTACCTAAGTCCATATGGACCACTAAACTGGGCCCAGGGGTTCTGGTTCACCTTATCTCTAACCAAGATTGTTGGTCTGGTTCAATATGAGACATAGAATTTAACCTTCTTCACTTACCTCTGGTTACCCAGTTTCCCAACACATGAGAAAATTCTTATGGGAACACTCTTGGAAAAGGTAACTGTCTTCTCAGTGAAGGCCAGTTCAAAGGGCAGAGGCCATCTGGGGGCCCCATGAGGCAGCTGTTCTGCCTCATTAGTCTTGTATCCATGAGGTTAGTGGTTCTGGCACAAGGTAAAACTGCATGACACCACATGCCCAAGTTCGCCTAGAGCACAGAGATCAGAAGGGCCAAGGCATAGCCTTTTCAGGTCCTCTGACAGTCTTGTTCAGTCCTCTTACTAAGCTGAATACAGCTACATTCCTCCTAAGAAGATAGGTTTCACCCTGTGGAAAGGATATTGACTGGGTCTGGAGTCAAAAGACCTAAATTCATATCTTACACCTCTGATGATTACTACCGTTGAGATCCTGGACAGGTCTCTCAACCCATCTGAGCCTTAGTTTCCTCATCTGTAAAATATGGAGGCAAGACTAGATGACCTCAAAGGTCCCCACTAGCTCTAGAACTATGATCCGAAGAGTAGCTGAGCACCAAGAGGGTTTAAAGTCTCTCAGATAAGTGTTGTGATGTGATGAGGCAATTCTCCAAGTCGATGGGACAGCATTTTCACGTGAACCCTGGCTCACCAACCTGAGATATCTCTTCACAAGAAGATACAAAAATTCTAGTGTAGCTCCCCATAGTAAAGTGCTCTGTACACAGTGGGAACTGAATAAAAGTTGGCTGACTGGTAAAGGTGAGGAAACAAGGCACTGATGGGTGGGGAACCTGCCTGCAGCCTCAAGGCCATACAAGGCCCTTTAACTTGAGGACCTAGAAGGACACATGTGGCCTTGAGGCCGCAGGCAGGTTTCCCACCCCTTCCACTAGTACCTGAAAAGGTACTCTCAAGGAAAAGTAGCAAAATCTGATAAGAGGGATTGACATATTTAAACTAAGCAGTGTGGGCAAGGTATAACAGGGTCCAGGGCTACCGGATTGTCCCCAAAGAGACCCAGAACAATGAAATCAGAGTTAAGGAAAGGACAAAGGAATTAGATATGTGGTCACCTGGGTTCTACCTGACCTCTATGCCTGAGTCATTGAGTTTAAGACCATAACACCATTGACTTAGAGTCAAGGAACTTTTTGTGTCCCAACCTCTTCATTTTGCAGCTAAGGAAACTGAGATCCAGTGAAGTTAAAGTGACTTGCCCAGTATCATAAGGCAGTAAAGGGTAAGAGCTAGGATTTGAACACAGGACCTCTGACTGCAAATTTAGCAGTTGTTCTACTGTAACATGTAGCCTCCATTTCCCTGGGGTATCAATTTCTTCCTCTATAAATTGGGAAGAATTCACTAGCATCCTTCCTCCATTCAGGCCCTATATAAAACTATAGCGTATGCTCTGAATATCACCAAAAGAAGAGGACATAGAAGTTGACAGTATTCCATAGTTATTATAACCATGCCAAGGACAGTGATTGCTGCTCAGGCATTATAGTCCCTGGCTCCATTCAGGGTCACTGGATAGAAGGTGGCATTCATAATGACTCTAATCTCCCCTGTGGAGTTCTCAGCCTTGTTCCAGAGTGAGCTATAAAGCAGAGGTGTCAAACTGCCCAGGCGCTGAACCAGATTAAGATATAATTGGGAAATGTTTAACAAAATGAATAAAAATACAATAAAACATAGATAATGTTAATTTGTGGTTTGAGAATATTAATTTATGGTTTCCTAAGTCAATAGGAGGCTGATCAGCAGGGATCTGTTTCTATTTGAGTTTGGCATTTTTGCTATCAAGGCTAGGATGCTGGGCTTGGAGTCAGGATGACCCAGGCTCACATCCACCTTTAGTTGCAAGCCTACTAACTTTGGATCATGGACAAGTTACAGTTTCTGTCAGCCTCAGTTACTTTTTTTCCCCTTTTTTTGGAGGCAATCAGAGGTAAGAAACTTGCCCAGGGTCACACAGCTAGTACGTGTCTGAGGTCAAATTTGAACTCCTGACTCCAGGGCAGGTGCTCTATCCACTCCACCACCTAGCTGCCCCAGCCTCAGTTTCTCCATCTGTACAATGAACATAATAATATCTATAATACCACCTAAGGTTGTGAGAATCAAATGATATCATACTAGAAAAGTGCTTTGCAAATCTTAAAGTGCTCCATAACGGAAAGTTTTTTACTAATATTCTGTTTAAGGCTAGTTCTGAGAAGCTGGCAGAGACCACTTTAAAAGGGACAGTTCATGCATCTCTCAAGAGACAGAAGCAAAGCAGTAGCTTAGAGGAGAGAGGATTCTTCCCAACTTCAAACTCCATCCTTTCCCATCAGGAGAATTGTACCCCAATTCTTTTTCTATGTTCCTTCTGTCCCCTACTCCTGTTCCATTGTGCTTTATTTCTACTAAATAGTTGGTAAGTACGAGAGCCAGTCATTTCTACTAAGTAGTTGGTAGATACAAGAACCAGGCATGCTGACTGCAACAAAAATTCATAGCTGAAGGCCTGAAAGCGGAAGAAGCAGGCAGAAAAAAAAAACCTCTAAAAAGGTCATATAAGAACTCAAGAGGCAAGTAGTCAGGAGCTATTTTGTGCAATCACAGTCTGAATCATCAAGAAAAAAATGACATCATGATCAGTATACTCTGTTTCAGAAAGCAAAAGGCTCTAACACAGTTCAGAAATATTCAAATTAAAATAAGAAGTTTGAGAGCTTTAAAGGGTAAGTTTCTGTCATATGGAAAATAAATTTAGGTGAGATGGTTCATTCCCTGACAATGTCAAAGAAATGAAGCTTTGCTAAATGCATAAATTCGAGAGGGAAAAGCACTGAGTCACAGGACCAGAGTTTGAAACCTGGCTCTATCCCTTACTACCTATGTGACCTTCAGCAGACAGCTCATTTTACATCCCTAGCTTTCAGATTCCTCATTTGCAAATAAAGGCATTGAATTCAATGACCTTTAAGCTCTCTCCCTGTGACTTTCCCTGCTGTATTCCATTAAATACTCAAATAAACCTTCCCTTCAGTAAACCAACCTGCCACCTCTCCGCTAAAAGAAACAAAGGAAACAACAGATTCCATTTAAGGCTTTTACACTAGAAACACCCCACTCCCCAAGAATACAAGAGACAGCCCTTCAATTATCCTCTGGCCGTTGTACTCACTTACAGAGGACACCCAGTCAGAGACAGAAGACACATGGAGAGAGGTGCACCCACAGCATCATAAGACCCAAACACAGAAAAGCTCAAAACTTTGGGCAAAAGCAAAAGCAGAGAGAACTTGGAAGTATAGAGTGGATAGGATAGGAAAGTTAAAAGAGAAGCAGATAAAGGAACAGAAACAATAGTGGTCTTGCAGAACCTTGCATTCCTGCCTGCCTCCGAGGTCAACCATGGCAGCTGTCCTAAACAAGGCACCATTTCTTTACTTCCTAGCAACGGGGATCAGGTTGGGAGAAATGCCTCAGTTATCCAGGCATTTCATATGTCCCAGACTGGGATGGTATTTCTCAGAGGCATAGGGAATTGGGAACAGAAAGATTAGTGGAATTTCCTCCCTGCCCCCCAACCAATGTAGTACCAACGGTATAGTAGCAGTACCACTTGGATCAATTTCAAAGATCTAGGATTTACAGCAGATCACAACTATCATACAGGACCTAAATTTTGTTTTGTATGTCATTGATCCCTCGAACAGTCTAGTGAACCTATGCACCCCTTCTCAGGATTGTGTTTTTAAATTCATTAAAATAAAATATACAAGATTTCAAAGGAAACCAGTTTATATTGAAATAAAGATGTAGGGTTTGGTTTGGTTTGATTTTTGTCCATCCAAGTTCATGGACTCCCTGAACTTTGTGGTTAGAGAGCTACCTGGTATTCAGAGCAGTCAAGTGATAACTAATTAAGTGTCAAAGGCAGGATTTGAAGTAGGGTCTTTCTGACTGCAAATCCAGCATTCTACCCCCTCTACCATAATGCTTCTCCATGGGAAGGGAAGAGGGAAGGTGAACAGTTAAGAAGGATAACTCTGTTCCTACCCTATGCTTTGCTCCCTCACCATTTCCCTGTTCTCTCAGTTCCAAGTCTCAGCTCTGCTACAGCCCCCTCCTTTCCATCCCAAATTCCCCTTCCCCAAATGCACTCACAGATACAGGCAGCTGCAATCAGACGTCCAGCAACATACGGAGCAAAACAGCTGGGGAAGATCGGTTGTACCAAATAGTTGGCAAAGGTGATAGCAATGATGGCCTGGCTGGTGGGCTCAATGATAAAGAGGGAAGTCCAGAGTCGGATGAAGGCCAACAAGCTCCCGAAGGCCTCGAGGATATAGGCATAGCTAGCCCCAGACTTCTTGATGGTAGTCCCCAGCTCAGCATAGCAAAGGGCTCCAAAAACAGAGAAGAGGCCCCCAACAGCCCAGATAACGAGAGAGAGACCAAAGGAAGAGCTATACATGAGTACACCTTTGGGTGAAACAAAGATACCAGAGCCAATCATGTTCCCCACAATCAGGCACACGCCATTGAGCAGGGAGATCTCCTTCTTCAATTTTATCTGTTCGGGTCCTGACTTGGACTCCTTGGACAAGGAGGGCACATCTTCATCGTGCTGGGCTGCCACTTCATACTTGGTGCTGTCAACCATTGTAGGAAAGAAAGTCTTCAACAGCTCCCTAGCATCTCCCTCTGAGGAAGAAAGAAAATGATCCTGAAGGAATAGGCTGTATGACCACCCCCTTACAAAAGCCGGAGTTGTCACCATCACTCTTCTTCCTCATTCCCAGGGTTTCCCCTCCTACCTCCTATCAACCCCCTCTAAGGATGAACTAAGGTGAACTAAGGTTCACCACATGGACTCTACATTGGCTTGACTGAATCTTTGAGAGTAGCAAGCATTTCTCAAGTTCCTACTATGTGCCCAAGTACAGAAGATACAAAGGGGAGACAGGCCATGCCCTCAAAGAGTTTACATTCCACAGAAGAGAAAACATCCCATCTCCTGGGAGGAAGCAACTTTCCACCACTGAGATCAGAAGATCATAGCTTTAAAGCTAGACAGGACCTCGGAGGTCACCTGGTCTAACCTCTTCATTTAACAGAAGAAAGTTAAGGCCCAAGGGAGATTGGGTTATTTGCCCAAGTGACACAGGTAATAAATAACAGGAGCCAGGACTTGTACCCAAGTCCTCTGGATTCAAACCCAGTGTTGTTTACACTGTGGCACACAATTTCCTGTAGAATACACCATAGAAATTACTTAACAGAGAGAAAGAATGCTGGACACCACCACCACCCCTACCCCCCCACCACTGAATCTCTTGTGGGGAGGAGTGGGTAAACAGGAAGACAACGATAATAATGCCTACAGCTGTTAGGACTGGAGTCCTAATAGCCTAGCCCTTCACCCAGTGCTGGGATACAAGGCTAACAGTCCTGCCAAGACATTTCAAAGGACTGTTACACAATATTAAACACCAACCTAACGCACAGCCCCTTCTGTCTCCATATGGAAGAAGGACCCCTAGCCTTGGTGATCTAAGCCTGGATGGTATAGGTTTCATGGCGCTCATGATAAAATGGAAGTTCCATTAATAATCCTATAATCTGCTCTGGGATCAAGGAGAATCTCTTGCAAATCAGAATTCATATCAGGCTGAAATCTCCCCCAATCAGCTAAGTTATCACCTGAAAGAGAAAATGGATCCACATCCAGAGAAAGAACTATGGAGTCTGACTGCAGATGGAAACATACTATTTTCACCTTTTTTTGGTTTGGTTTTTTTATTTTTCTTTCTCTTGGTTTTTCCCTTTTGTTCTGATTCTTCTTTCACAACAAGACTAATGTGGAAATAGGTTTAATATGTATAACTCATATCAAATTGCTTGCTGTCTTGGGGAGGGGAGAGGGAAGGGAGGGCGGGGAAAAAATTTGGAACTCAAAATCTTATAAAAGTGAATGTTGAAAACTTCCTTTACATGTAATTGGAAAAAATAAAATGCTAGTAAAAAATAAATAAAATAAAATAAATCAATAACCTGCCTACAGAAAAAGAGAGCGCGAAATAATGGCCATAGTCATCAAGGGAGGTCCGAGAATGATGGCATGATGGCTTCCTTGCCCGTATGCTACTATCTAGCACTTAGCACAGCGCCTGGCACATAGTAGACACTTAATAAATATTTACTGATTGATCAATTGATTGATTGATGTCACTCACAAGGGAGCCCATCACTTATAAAATATGAATGGGTGGGCATGAGAAAAAGAAGAATGATCCCAGTGGAGAGATAAACCTAAAAATGAACAGAGATACCTAGAGAACCCTAGGGGACACAGCTTCTCAACCAACAGGACTCATGTTAAGAAAGTAAGGGTATAAAGAGGTTAAGTGACTTGCCCCAAGGTAACTCAGTTTAAGAAGTAGCTGAGAGATATTCTCTGAATCCAAATCCAATATTCTTTCCACTAAACCACACAGCAGTGCTATCAGGACCAATTAGCGGAAAAGGACTCATTTGAATCTAATGGGGAGTGAGAGGGGGAAAATAAGAAGGCAATGACACATACCTAAAGGCAAGAGAGACAGCTGGAGGGAGGAACACATAGCTGGGAATACCCAAGGCAGGAGACAGCTGAGGGGAAGACAGGTGGAGAGATCACTGGGGCAAGGGAGCATTGAGACAAAAGGGAGCTAAAGCCTGAAGAACAGAAATTAGGAGAGGAAAGTTAGGTATCAGGAGGGGGAAAGTCTAGAAAGTAAGACTTACACTTTTGTCCTGGATATAGCAGCCCCTGGCAGCAGCAGTAGGGCTGAAGATCCAGCTAGAGTTGTAGATCTCTTCTCTTGGAGTTTTCAGCCTGTGGTAAAGAGGAAGACTGGGCAAACACGTATGGATTTAACTCAAGGAGGGGGAGGAGGAGGGGGAGATGGAGAAAGAGGGAAGGAGGAGGGGGAAAGAGGGAAGTTGTTATTAAGCAAGAGTCTAGGTCCAAGGTTCACAGGCCCTTCACATCTGCAAAAGGGGCTGGCTAGGAGCTCTTCCATCAGCAATTTCTGAGATAAGGAGGCCTCTCAGGAATCTCCTTTGTCAGCTCAGTTCTGAGACAGGAGGCTGAAGGGGAGGGACAGGCAATAGGGTGCCACTTCCTCTCGCCCCCCAAAATATGCAATCCCCTAGCCTGGTTGCAGAAAGTTAGCTAAGGTGAAAGAAAGTAGGGCAGCAAATATAAAGAATGAGTTCCAATTATCTCTGTCCTCCTTGCACATCTTCTCCTACCCCTGACTTTCCTCTTTTCCCGCCACAGATTTTTCTTTAAGTAGAAAAAGCTGTGTAGTCACATAAGTTTGAGATAGTCAGCCTAGAAATATTAGAGGAAGTGTCAGAGATGTCACTGTATCTCTGTGACATTGCTCAGTGGAGTGGCTTGCTTCCCCCTGCAATACTTCAGACCACAGTGGAAAACTCTGCAGACTTCCCCTTGGCTGACTGAAGCTGGCTCCAGTTTAGACCATTACCCCAAAGCTGAGTCACAAGCCATCTCACTACAAACAAGTTCAAGAAATGGCCCCCTGATCCCAACTTGCCCCACCCCACAAGGGCAACCACATGCCCTTTCAACCTGAAGTATTCCTTAATCTCCATCTCAAGAAAGCACACCAAGACATTTGAGGTAAACAAGGAGACTGCTGACACACTTGCCGGAGCTTGTACTCTGCGTGAACTGAGAGAATGTGAGTTCAAGCCCCACTTATACTCTTTCCTAGCTATACAACCTTGGGCAAGTCATTTCAACTCTCTGAGCCTCAGTTTCCTCTTTTATCAAATGAGGGTATTGGACTATATCATTTCCAAGATCCCTTCCAACTCTGAAATCTATGCCTCTTACCTTCTTGGGGCTTTCCTCCAAAGCTCTAGAAACTTGTGCAAAATAATAATAATAAAACAATTACATTTATATAGCACCTTTAAAGTTCACAAAGCTCTTTACCTAGTTATCTTAGTTACATAGTTATCATAAAGCTACTAGTTGGATAGAGCTCTGTATAGAGTGAAGAATATTTGAATTCAAATACAGCCTCAGACACTTAGTAATTTGTGTGACTCTGGGCACATCATTTCACTTCTGTCTGTCTCAGTTTTTCATCTTTAACATGAGGATAATAATAGCACCTCCTTCCCAGGATTATTGTAAGGAGCAAATGAGATAATATTTGAAAAGTGTTTTGCAAACTCTAAGGAACTAAATGCTCATTACTAACATCTCATTTGATTAAAAAACAAGAGCTCTAGGGGCAGCTAGGTGGAGCAATGGATAGAGCACTGGCCCTGGAATCAGGAGTTCAAATCCAGCCTCAGATACTTGCTGCTTACTAGCTGCGTGACCCTGGGCAAGTCACTTAACCCCATTACCTAGCCAAAAAAAATCAAACAAAAAAATAAATAAGAGGTCTCACAAGGACTTAGCCAAAATAGCAGAAGTTTATGCCACATTTATCCTCAGCCTTAAATCTACTCCTGCTGCCCCATCTCTTTTATTAATATAGAGAACTTCACCCCACCCTAAGTGGCTGAGGGAATAGAGCACTGGGCCTGGAGTCAGGAAGAACTGAGTTCAAATGCAGCCTTAGACCTTTACTAACTGTGATCCTGGACAAGTCACTCACTCCCTGTTTGCCTCAGTTTCCTCATCTGTAAAATGAGAATAATACTAGCACCTATCTTGCAGGTTGTTGTGAGAGACAAATGAGATAATAATTGTAAAGTGCCTGGCACATAGTAAGCACTATTATTAAATCTCAATTCTATGTCCCTTGTCACACTAATTAATTCTCATTCATTGCAAACAGACTCAGAAATTAGAGTGATGAAAATCCTCATTAGACACCTTTTCACCCATAATTTTTCAAAGTTCTCAGGCAGACTTTCTGGGAGTTCATATGAACATAAAACTTAGGTCTAGAAGGAAGAGATCCTAGATACCATCTTTTTTTGCAACCCCTTCATTTTACTGATGAGTGTATCGAGGCCCTGAAAGGCAGAATAACTTGTCCAAAGTCATATGGGTGGTAAGCAGCAGAAACAGGATTCAAAACCAGGTCCCGGCACTCCATAACCAAACAAGACACTTCTGCCATGGAAGACAGTGGGCTTCAAGGAGGTGTGCTCATTTCCCATTCTTCTGATCCTCCCCTTTACCTTCTGCAAAGGTGCATTCTAGATCAAATAATGGAGTGGAACTACATAAAGGATAAGGAAATGTTAGAAAATCTGGGAAGACAAATGTATATAGTTTGATGTCTAAGGAAAAGCCACAAGCCCTTTCTTCCTAGGGCCCCTTGGCAGGATAATTCCATGCTCGGTATCTCCATTACAGCACACAACATCCCCTAGCGGACACATGGGGAAGTGGCAAAGACTGAATCTACTTGCTTTATTGCTAAATTGGACAAACCAAGTCAGCCAGGGAGCACCATCAGTCAGCTAGAGAAAAAATACCCTCTCTCTGTCTTCAGCCACCATTCACACGGCATACAAGAGTTCAGTGTACACCCAGCATAGAGCATTCATTCTCCCCTAAATCACTCTGCTACCATGACCAACTGTGGCTGTCTCTCAAGCTGCCTCCTCAGCTTTCAACACCTGAAGTAGCCTGGATGGAGGCAGCAAAATCCCTGCTTCGACCGATGGCTTTGTTCTAGTCTACCTGAGGTTTCCCATAATAACTTTTCCCCCTGTATACACTCCTCCCTAACTACCTCTGAAATGCAGCCATTTGGGGGGCTCTGAGCAAAGTAGTAAACAAGCAGGACTCACTTCCTTTTTTTGGACAGGGAGTGAGGGAAATTCCAGGTTGGAAATGAGCCCCCATAAAGTGTGGGTAATGAAAACCGACTGACTCACAAAATACAGCAAATGATAGAGCTGGTCACAAATGGCCAATTCTCAAGGGTTAACCCCTGCAGCATACTTCCTCTGGGAAACCAGGACAAAATACCCCTGAGTCGTAGATCCCCAGCCCACAGAGTAAATGTTAGGACACACTTCCTCCCTGAGAGAACCCGGGTGCCCTGCCTCCCTGTTTCCTGGCACTAACTGGTTTGCACTGCCTTCCATAACAACAGAAAGCAAATAGAAAACATGCACTTTCTCATCAGGCTAAAGCCCCCATAACCCCTAAGCATGCAACCCTGCTCCACCCCCACCACAGTTACTTTGTTTTCTAGACTTACTGTAGCTGACAAAGACAGTCTATTTTTAAAATGAAATACAAAACATGTTTTGCTCCTGTGGCCCAGGGTTCCCATTAATATGGGGTTAATGTCCCTGAGAGGGGGGCTCTGCAGGTGATCTGAGGGTAAGGCTGTCCTCCCTTACTTTTAAGTTTCGCCCTTCCTTTCTTCTGTTTTCCCTCTCTCCCACTTCCCTTTCTCTCTCACCTCTTACCTGTCCTGTGGTACTTGGGCAGGTGCAGGGGAAGAAGGGGCCACCAGTCACCTCGGGCAGCAGGTGGGGGGAGGGGTGCAGGTGTTAGCAAAGGGAGGTTAGAGAGAAGGCTAAAGCTTCGGCAGTCGCCAACTTGTGAGAAGAAGCTGAGAAGCCGGGGGTGGTGGGGGACCGAAATGAAAAACAGGAAAACACATGTGTGACTCTGACCGGCAGGGAGGAGGGGCCAGGGGATGGGCTGAAGCTGGCACAGCCCAGTCAGACTCAGGGTATCTCAAGAGGTGTCAAGAATGGCACCTTCTATCCCCCAGGACTTATCCATGAAAGGAAGTCTGATGTGCCGGATAGAAAGCTTGGCTTCACGGTCCGGAAAATTTGGGTTCAGGTCTGTCATCTGACATGCACCAATTGTGTGTGACCATAGGCAGCTTCACCTCTCAATAACCCCAGGCAGCTCTACGATGGTAACTTTCAGGTGAGTCGTCAATCCGATTTGGTGGAGGGAGTTTTCATTCTGGAATCTCCCTGCACTGAAGAAATCACAGGTCTCTTTCCACCAACCTCCCCTCTGGCAGACTGGAAAATAACTAAGCCATGGCTCCCCCTCTCTTCATATCTGATTCATTCAATTTCCTTGCTCTTGGGCATCTAATGAAGACCTAGGGTTTCAGAGAGTTTGGCCTGCCTTTCTAGCAGTTCACCCTTTATTCCACCTCTTACCCATTCTCTACCCATTGAATAGCCTATCCTCCCCTAAATCTTCATTGTTCAGAGCAGAGTATAATTAAATGGCTAAAACACTAAGTTAAAGCATCAGGGCACCTAGAGGATCCCAGGATAGGACACCCCAGTCAGGGGTGGGGAACCTGAGGCCAAGGCCCCATGTGGCCTTCTAGGTCCTCAAGTGCAGCCCTTGGTCTGAATCCAAACTTCACAGAACAAATCCCCTTAATAAAAGGATTTGTTCTGTAAAACTTGGACTCAGTCAAAAGGCTGCACTTGAGGACCTAGAAGACCACATGTGGCCTTGAGGCTGCAGATTCCCCACCCCTGCCCCAGATCAAGAAAACCCATTTGGAAGAATATCAGTCAAGTACACAAGACTCCATGCCAATCTCATCAACTAGGAGCCATTGTGGTTCCCTGGAGAGCTGTGATCTTCCCATCTTCATGAATTTCACTAGGTGAAATTCAAATCACTCAACAAGGAAACATTTACTAAGTGCTTAATATGTGCCAGGCACTGTGCTGAGTACTTTATAAATATTACTAAAAATAAATATATATTATTTCATTTGATCCTGACAATAACCCTGGGAGGAAGGTGCTATTATTATCTTCATTTTACCCATGAGGAAACTGAGGCAGATAGCCATTAAGTAACCTGCCCAGGGTCACACAGTAAGTGTCTGAGGTTAAATTTGAACTCAGGCCTTCTGACTCCAGGCCCAGAACTCAATCTTCTGGGCCACCTAGCTGCCTCTAACTTCCCTCATGTGGGAGAAAAATAAGAACATAAATAAATGTAAAATGGTTTGGTTTTGTTTGGTTTTTTTAAAAGTAATTTTAGGGAAGGGCACTACCAAATGGGAAAATCAGAAAAAAGCCTCTTATAGGAGTATGAGTTCAGCCTTGCAGGAATCTAGGGATTCTACAAGGTGAGGAAGGAGTTATTGAGGGCTTGGGGGACAGCCTGGACAAAGGCATAAAGGAGATGGATTGTCAAGTATGGGTGACAACAAATAGACCAGCTCGGCTGGAATGTAGAGCATGTAAAAGACAGTAATGTACAGTGAGCCTGTGAAGGGGCACCTGAACATCATGAAATACTGTTGCCCCATAAAAATGTAAATGACAAATGAACAGTAGCCTGGGAAGACTAATACGAACTGATACGAAGGGAAGCAAGCAGAACCAGGAAAACAATATACGAAATGATTGTAATAATGTAGATGGAAAGAAAAACAATAAAACAATCGAAATCAAATGCCATGAAGGACCAAGATTGGACCCAAAGGAGAGATGTGAGGATTCTTTGCAGAGGTGTGCATACAGTGAGCGAGCACTTATTAAAGCATTGTGCTAAGCACTTTCACAAATGTCATTTGGTCTTCACAACAACTCTGGGGGGTAGGTGCTATTATTTTCTGTTTTACAATTAAGGAAACTGAAGCAGTCAGAGTTTAAGTGACTTACCCAGGGTCACACCGGTAGGCCAGAAGAGAGGTCACATTTGAACTCAGTTCTTCCTGAGTCCAGGCCCAGTGCTCTATCTCTTGCACCACCTAGCTGCCTTTTATAATATCAGATTGGGTAGATGTGTTTGGTTAATTTTGTTGAATTGTCTTTCTTTTTCCTCCTCTCCTTTATTCTTTGTTAAAAGGAATGGTTCTCTGAGGCAAAAGCAGGGAAACATTAGGAAGTACAAGCGATGTAAAAACAAAATATACAATATTTTAAAAAACAAATTTAAAAATAAGCAGAAGTCAGATTATAAAGGGCTTTATATATTCCAAATCAAGCAGGTGGGATTTTTATTCTGGGGGCATTTGAAAGCCCTTTAGGCAGTTGAGTGACATGTCATGGTCAGATAGATGATTTAGGTCCAAACATCTACTTGACAGCTGTGGAGGGTAAGTCACTGGAGAAAGGAAAGGCCAAAGGCAGAAAGCCTAATGTGGAGACTACTGCAATAGTCCACGCAAAAGATGATGAGGGGGCAGCGAGGTGGTACAGTGGATACAGCACCAGCCCTGAAGTCAGGGGGACCTGAGTTCAAATCCGGCCTCAGACCAAACACTTGCCACTTACTAGCTGTGTGACCCTGGGCAAGTCACTTAACCCCAATTGCCTAAAAAAAAAAAGTGATGAGGTCCAGAACAATAGTGTTAGCTCTATTAGTGGAGAGAAGGGGTGGAGACATGGTGAGACATGGTGGAGGTAGAAACGTCAGGATTTGGCAACCAATTAGATATAGGTGGTAAAAAAGAGGGGAGAGTTAAGGATAATTCCCAAGTCTTCAAACTTGGATGCCTGGAAGAATGGTTAGTTAGTCAATAAGCATTAGGTTTTGTATTAGGTACTTACACAGTACAAGGCAGAGTAGCTAGGCATTGGGAGATACAAAGACAGGCAAAGAGCTCAAAGAGCTTACATTCTAATGAGCAAGACAACATACCAACAGCTCTGTATATACAAGATGCGTACAGAGTAGATCAAAGATAATCTCTGAGGGAAGACTCTAGCAATGGAGGGATCAGGAAAAAGCTTCCTGCAGAAAGTAGTGCTATCAACAGGGATATAACAATTAGGAGGAAGGAAGGATAGAGTCAGGGGTTGGGGAGAGATAAGACATGTTGAATTTTAGAGACCTCATAGGACATCCAGCTGGAAATGTCCAATAGACTGTTGGAGCTCAGGAGAGAGACTAAGGCCGAAAGTATGGATCTGGGAATCATTTTGAAAAGAAATGATAGGGGCAGCTAGGTGGAGCAATGGATAGAGCTCCAGCCTTGGAGTCAGGAGGACCCGAGTTCAAATCCAGCCTCAGACACTTGACACTTACTAGCTATGTGACCTTGGGCAAGTCACTTAACCCCCCTTGCCAAGAAAGAAAGAAAGAAAGAAAGAAAGAAAGAAAGAAAAAGAAGAAAAGAAAAAGAAAGAAGAAGAAAGAAAGAAAGAAGAGAAGAAGAAAGAAGAAAGAAAGAAAAGAGATGATAGTTGGGAGCTGTGAGATCATCATGAGAGAAAGTGTAGAGAGAAGAAAATTAAGCCCAGGACATAGCCCTGGGCTGTCTATGCCTATACATAGGAGCTGGTGCATGGATGATAATCTAGTAAAGGGGACTGAGAAGAAACACCCAGACATAAAGGAGAGGTCAACATCCTGAAAACCCGTGGAGGAGAGAGTATCCAAGAGAAGGAGGTGGTCAACAGTGCCAAAAACTTCACCACCCCAGAGAGTTCAAGGGGAGTGAGAATTTAGAAAAGGTTGTTGGATTCAAGAGATCACTGACACCTTTGGAGAGAGCAGTTTCAGCTGAGTGATAAGCTAGAAAGGCAGACTGCAAAGGGTTAATGAGTGAGAGAAAAGGAATTGGAGGGAAAGAATCCTAACCTTGAGAAATTACTGCTGGGCCCTTAAGGGCTGGGGTACCATACCTCTCCTTATGTACGCAGGCAGTTTGGTATAGATTCAGTTTCGGGAAGCCTGACCTCTAAGGAAAGTGGAGTGAGGCTCTCGGTTCTCACATTCACTGGCTCATTAAGCCCCACCTGGAGGCCCCCCGCAGGGGAAAAATTGCTTAAGGTTGAAGTTATAGCTTACAAGTCCAGAGTTTCCTTAAAAAGGGTCAGTTTAAAAAAAAAGTACTCAACGTATAATATGAATCAGGTATGAGACAGGTAATTAGTTCTACACACAAAATTAACGTTAACACAGTATACTCATAAGTGCATGGTAACAGAATTCAGTAACATAACTACTGTCATGATCTGCTAGAAGAATGATACATGAAACAGTCTGTGACATTTTGTGGGGCTAAGACTGTCTTTTGCCTTTCTTTGAACCCCAGTGCTTAGCACAGTGCCTGGCACGTTGTAGGCACTTAATGACTGACTGGCATTGTCATGTTACATTTCACTTCAGCTCTGTTCTATCACTCCACTCCAAACCCAAATCTACTCTGAACTTCCAAAGTCAACTACTACTTTTGCATCTGCCAAGACCTCAAATTCCTCATGAGTTCCCCAAACTTCAGACCTTTTGAACTCACCCAAATAAAACAGGCCTCCAAGCATGGACACATCCACTTTAAGAAACATATTCAGTCACCTACTCAAGGAAAAAAAAAATACAAAGCAGAAGAGAGAGCCTGGGGCCTAGACAAAAGCATGTCTAGTGGAGTCCCATATGGGGAGTAATGGAGGGTGGAGAAACACATATCACTCATTCCCCACTCCCTTTACTGGAATCTAAAGACAGATAGAGTGTACTGCTTGCCACATAGAAGAGTCACAGCTAAAGAGACCCAGCTCAAAGTTTTCTATTCTTTTAAGGGGACAAAACAGGGAAAAGACCAAGGGACCTCTCAGGGGGTTTATTGCTGTTGCTGTTTTTCTAACCATGCCACAGTAAAATACAATGTTCTTTCACAGCTGGACCACCAGGGAGC